GAAACTTACCTTCTTGAAGGTGCTGAGGCCCGCAAGAATGCTGCCACCGGTCCACGTGGTGTAGATGCGCTCTGGTGGTGCTAAGATCTTGATCCTCATGTCCTTCACCGCCAGTCTTTGCACCTCATGAAGCAGCCTGTTTCCGAATCCCTTTGTCAGTGTGGAACCTCCCGAGAGTACAATGTTGCCATAAAGCGCCTTTCGGAGATCCATGTCGGTTCTGTGTATCGCCTCGACGACAATCTGGTGCACACCAGGGTACTCCAGACCAATGATCTCAGGGTTGAAGAGTATCTCTGGTGCTCGGAAGCGTTCCGCTCCGATCTAGGCTGTCAGCTTGTGTCCGATGCGTCTCGTCATTTGCACTCACCTTTATCTTCTGGCCATCAGGTAGTGCGTAGTCGACGCTCTTGCCCTCTGACCTGGACGAGCCTGACCAGTCCTTCTCCTCCTTGGCAGGATCGAGTGCCACATATCCTGTTGCCTCTTTGATGTTCTTGACCGTCTCCTTCTCGGCGCTGGTGTGGAAGACGCGGCCGCTTTTCCTCAGTAGCTGCTGGAAGTGCTCTGTAACATCTCGGCCTGCCACGTCTATCCTCCTGATGCTGTTGGGAATGGCAAACCCCTGGAAGACTGGCACTGCATGCGAAACACCGTCTCCCGAATCTAGAACTAGACCAGTTGTCTTGCCGGATGCATATAACGAAAGGACGGCTTGGACCGATGTGTATAAGGCGGGCACATTAAACGTCTCGAATAGAATCTGGGCAGCTGTGTCGCGGTTTTCTCGGGGGTTTAGCGGAGGCTCTGTGAGGAGTACGGGATGCTACGAGGGTGGATAGTCAGCTAGATGCCCCTCAATCGCAGCAAATGGCAGTCTGCCACGGCCAAACTCACATCTTCGCTGACGGTCCTCAGGCCTTCTGTATAGACATACTGCCATATCCGCTCCATATCGTCCCAGTCTGTGACAATGCCGTGCTCCAATGGGTAGTTGATTTTGAAGAGCCCCCTATATTGTTGTGCTTGTGGTCCTATGAATACGTCGCCCTCCAATGCGCCTGCCATTGTCCGCACATGCTTCGGTCGTCCTACGTATGACGGGAAGAAGCATTTTGGCACATCCTCGCCTGCGAATCCAGCTCTGATAGTTCCACTGCCGTTGTCTATCACGATTGGAGCATTGTGCAGTCGGGAGCCCATGGCGGGGTTAGGGAGTAACGATGGGTTTGGAGATTGGTAATTCGGGAGAGCGGTCCGCGACAATGACGATAGAGAGGCGAGTTTACTGGCGAGGCGAAGAGCTGGTGTCGTGGCAGCTTCCCCAGGTTGGAGCTCCTTCTGAATCGCGAAAGTTCACGACGCGCTTCGGCATTGACGACAGGGGTGCCCTCACCGCATCACGTGCCGGCGCTCGCACCTCCAAGAACACGCATCTGCTCCTGCGCATCATCTACATCGACCACACTTACGATTTTTGCTTCTTCTTTGTTCCATTGTACTATTGCATATAGTAAGCAATACAATCACAGTATCTAGCATTGTTTGGCCTCCAGCCGAGCGCCTCACGCACCCCGCGTCAGCATTATCCAGGCAACCACCCGTGGACGACTACAATGAACATCATGCTCCGCAATGTACTGTCTCTTGTGTCCACATGCCCACGGCCTGTCTTATCCAAATTTTATGCTGTTTCACATACGTTTTGACTACCTACCAGACTTCCCAGAAGCATGTCGTCAGTGAAGCCTAACCCAGCCATGCAGGCCGCCGCAGCCAGTTTCTCCTCTGTCATACAGAAACGCGAAGATGCCTTTTACGAGCCAAGAAACCAGACTTACTATCGCGTCTCACCTGACGGCAATTGGACACCAGCAACATCTGATCAAGCGTTCTCAAAAGACGGATCAGAGTCACTTCTGCATCCCACGAAGCTTCGTTTGATCTCCTGGAATATCGATGTTCTCGTTCCATTCGCAGAAGAACGGATGAGCGCGGCACTAGATCATTTGCACGAGTTGGTGTCATCCACCCCACCAGAAATCGCAATCGTCATGTTCTTGCAAGAGATGGGAGTATCGGACATGGAGCAGATACGAGACTCAGCCTGGGTCAAGCAACGCTTCAACCTCACAGATATCGACTCGCATAACTGGCTGAGCTCTGGCTATGGTACGACCACACTCGTCGATCGGCGAATGCACATAGACTCTGTGTTTCGCGTTCCGTGGTACAGCAAGTTCGGACGAGATGGCCTGTTTGTGGATATCAAACTGTACAACTGCCTTCGTGCAGATCTCCCGGTGAAACTACTACGGCTATGTAACACACATCTGGAGTCTCTGGTAGCCGATCCGCCTGTCCGTCCTGTCCAGATGGCAGCCGCAAAGCGGTACCTCAGCCACCCAGATGTCGAAAGCGCAATACTAGCTGGCGATCTCAATGCCATTGAGCCATTTGACCGCTCTTTGCACACGGACAATGAGCTTGAGGATATGTACCTCTCTATTGGCGGTCATGCCAATGCACCAAGTGACGCTACTGTCTTCGGTAACTTCATCGTCTACGATGATAACAATGTACCCACTAATCGCAATGGGCCCGGAGAAGAAGACAGCGACCATGGGTATACCTGGGGCTATCAGTCTCCGCAAGCCATGAGAGACAGGTTTGGCTGTAGCAGGATGGACAAAATCTTATTCCGGGGATGGCTGGGTCCTTGCAAGTTCCAGAGGATTGGTATGGGCGTCAAAGTCGCAGAGGAGCATGGACAGATGATGAAGGAGGCGGGAGAATTGGATTGGGTCTCGGATCATTATGGCGTCATGGGTGATTTCCTGCTCACTTATCGAGGACATCTGACGAAGTATGAACCAAGAGAACAAGTGTAATGTTGGCGAGGTCGCGGACGCTCTTTATTAACACCTCAATTTGACCAAATGCTCATCTACCTCCAGTATCCCTTTTCAGGTTCATCGAGCTCAAGCTTAGGCCTACTATATTGACGCTACCGAGTATTCCTTGTTCTACTCCTCTGGGTCACAATGGCTCAGACGAGTACCGGGCGGAGCACCCATAGCTTCTGCAACCCCATGAATACGTTCAATGCCTACAAACACCTTTCAAGTGACGCAAAGAAACAGTACCAAAGCGATGGCACCTTCAATAATGATTGGTTTGCTAAATAACATGAGGTACACTTCGGCTAGACAACTACATGTACGGATCTAGTCCAACCCAGCAACTCTCGAATTCGTCTTCTTCTTCAAATCGTACTGTCACAACCAATTTGGATAGTCCAAAAAAAGCATTGTAAACAGCAGCAGTCTACCACCCTGTTCGATAGAACTATCCGCCTGACACGGTAGCTTCCGCGCTTTACTCAGAGCTCGTCAAACCTTCGCGCGAGGCGTTCACTACCCCACTCATCCGACAAGCGATCCTTCCACTCCTCATCAACGATAAATTCTACATTCACGTATTCATCAACGCCAAATATCTGATCATTGAGCCGCACCTCCTCCGACCATTGTTTCATTCGCTCATATGAGTCCTGCCCGGCAGGGCTGGTCGCGCAAGCATGTGACCACGCATGCATCCACGTCTCCGCATGGCCCCTTCGTGTCCAAAAGAACACGGACGGGCCTTGTTCTACATTCAAGCAACACTCCACATGCTCGGCGGAGATTTGTATGAAAGCGTGCAGCTCAGGTGCAGCTTCCGGTTGTGTGAGGATGCGCAGCATGCGCTGCATACGGCTGGCTCTGGATGAACTAGCAACACGGGGCTGCAATGGCGAGAAATCCGCTATATCGAAGGCTATGTTGACTTGTGGAGCGCTTCTGCAGAGCTTGATGAGATGTATGATATCCCTTTCATGTGATAATGTGCCCCGAGTGTCAGATGCTGAGTCTAGTCCATCGACCGTCAGATCTCCGCGAGCCAGAGCGGGGTCTATTCCAGCAGCAAGAATGAAAGTGTTGATATAAAGAAGCGAGTCCACACACTGGATATGAACCTTGGTATGCGCCCTGTAGATAGGCAAGTACTCTGTTCGGAGCTGGCGGCAGACTTGTGGGAGACCGAAGAAGAACGGTCGGCTAGTCGGATAATAATGATCGTTTTGAGGGCTGAGCTCATGAATAAGGTAGATATCGCTCGGTTCTCGTGCGAATGCGTAGATACGATTTCGAAGCTCTGATGAGTGCGTTAGCTCATTCTGGTCTAGCTTTCTTGCCTCTTTAGAGCTGATCCCGACTCACCTCCTGGAAGCTTGAGAAGGGGGCTTGTGGGTGCACTGTTGACAGGCGTGTCTGTTGGCTGCATGTCTGTGACTTCAGTGTTGATAATGATATAGACGGGGCTCTGTTAAGTTGGGTAGCAGATATTCGGGAAAGAGGTGAACAGTGGGCTTGAACTCCTGATGCGGCGCCAAGGAGCGCTTTCGATGGGAAAGTTGCTTTATTTCCTCGTGGTAAGGCTGCCCAGATGCGCCTCGCCTAGGCTTCGATGTGAATGTATTCGACTACCATAATCTTCTGAGGCAGATGTTGCGGCCTCGAAATACCCCAATGAATACATCGGGTGGAGTGAAACAATGCGATCGGATAAGAGGAAGCCCAAAGGTATAAAAGGCGTGCCTGCGCCTCGATTGTCGAGGTAAATTACCACTGCAGAAGCTACATGAGCCCCAATAGTCTTCATTCATCACACAGAAACCCTCTGAATACATACAAACTTCGGCGACCGCCATGCTATGTCAGTTTCCTGACTTTATTTAGACCTCTCACGATGGTCATGGGAGAAACTCCAGCGGCCTTGGATTGCCCCAGTGATCGCTTGGATTGAACCTCCATGCTCCCTTGTGCTTTCTCACGAACCAATATGCGTTCATGTACGGGATGAAGAAGGGTACAGGTGGGAAGTTTCCACTACCAGGGTAGCTTCTGTCGACACAGCCAAGTACCAGCGGGATGACAAGAGTCTGATGAGGCAGTTTATTAGTGCTTTGCTTGATGGTAAGCTGCCAGTGAGAATATTAGAATACGTACCGGATCAGCAGTCCTTGCACCTTCATCGGCCACTTCTTTCCCCGCCTGCTTGATCTTCTCCTCGTCACAGTCCTCGAGTCGTATCAAGGTATCGATCTCGTCGTGTAGATGCTGGGTGAGGACAGGTGCGAATTCGTCGATCAAGCTCTTCAGTTCCACTGCGTCATACGTTCTCTCTCCAGCCCTAACTTCATCGGCCCACTTCACCAGCCCTGCAATCTTCGGCTCAAACTCATGATGCTGGTCCACGTTTCCTCCCATCATGCCTTCCCAGCCATCTATTCCAGCCTCTCTTGCGATCTGCTCTATCTTTGGAAAGAACATAGTCTCTTCAAGGGAGTGATGGTGGTGCACGGTATCCGCCCATGCGATTACGTACAGCATGAGATCTGCAACATCGCCAGGGAGTTGAATGAAGGGCGCTTGGTGATATATAGAATTTAGAGCGCGGAGCAAGGCGTTGTGAACATTGGCCATTTCTATGGCGACACTGAGAACACCGGCATTCGTGCATACGGGTGCGTTTGGTTGACCGGGAATGTTGAGGAGGGCGAATGGTGTATCCGCCCATGTGTTTGCTTCTGCCTTGGTGTTCATGCTGAAAGTTGATGGCAAACAACTAAAGGATCATGAGGGTGGATGTCGAAGAAAGCTACGGATGAATGGCACATCGCTGAAGCTTAGCTTTAGCCTGGCCTTCGAGGCTGATATGCGATAGGCGCTGCTTACCGCGCATATGTGAGCTTGTAAGGCTGAACGGTGTACGCTTGAGATTTTCTTCTTCGGGTTAGCAGGCAATCCTCTTGCCAGCTGGCGTAAGCAGTACGCTCCTTACGGACAATGCGTGAGAGTGTATCGGAATCTTGCACCCCTAATGCTAATAATGTCTGCGCATTCATGTTCTCAACGCCTTCGGGGATTAAAAGGGAATGCGCTCGGTGGGACCAACGGATTACTAGCCAGGACTCTGCGCAGTACATCTGTTGATGCCGTGATGTTCTGCCTTGCTGTTATTGCTACTGCGCAGGCACATCGCGACTGCTGGACGCTCGGTATATGTGCTGCTCGTCAAGTGCCTACCTACATGTCCACGAGTAGGTAAGTGAGGTACTCATCATCTTACATTTCTGGCAGAGGTCGCAGCGCGCACCTCTGGTCTGAGGCTGGGCAACTTCTGAGAGGCTTTGAGAAGATTCAGTTTCGACTGCGCTGGATGCTTTGGTGTTGGGAAGCCCTGGCATTCGCGCAACAGGGAAATGAAGGGCGAACTAGAGCCTTGGCAGATGACATAGCTTCTCGGTCCCTATCTTGAGCAACTTCACGGCGGCGTGGCACCTCGTTGTTTCATCAATACCACCGAACAAGCATCCTCCCGACTGCTCGCCGTAATCCGCGCATAATGACGTTGTGAGAACAGCGCCCCCAGGAGTCACCATGCACAAGAGCAGAGAGAGTGGAAGCGCAATCGCGGAAGCACGCGTAGGACGTTAGCAACCAAACGAACAATTGAGCAGCGAGCTCATAAGAACGATGTGTTCTTTGAAGAAGGTTCCACGCGCCTCATGGCACGGACGGTAGATCTGGCGATCGTTTGATCGAGAGAGATGACCCCACGCTCCCGCCATTTCAACTCACCAGCTTCACCAACATTGATTAGAAGGGACCGAAGCCATGCAAACGACCCTATTTTGTTTCAATAAAGTCTAGACCTGTTTTTATAACCTTGTTTCTTGTCCACAGGCAGACATCATGCAGGGCAAATCCCCTGTACCGCTCGGAAAAGAAGGAAACAAATAGATGTCTGTAACGGCCCGTCACCCACAGGGGGTACCTCATTTCCTAACTCCACACCTTGCATCACCGTGCTCCCGACCCCACGGTGATCACTTACAACTCTAATGCTTAGCGTATGACATAGAGAGAGGTAATATAGAAGATGGACCGCTCGCTCACATTCTTCCCTCGATAACCGGCCATTCACAACAACAAAGAACTCACTGGTTTAGCGCATTGACCTGTGTAGACTCCCTTCACTTGTCTTTCCCTCGTTCACCGACAAGCGCCAATCTCTCATTACCGACACTCAACCTACGAATTGTACTACATCTTCTCAACGCCCCTACGTTCGATTTCCGATCTCTCAGCCAGAATGTACACCCATATGCTCTTCAGCGCGTTTCTAGCGTCGGCACTCGCGGCACCGCTCGTTCCACGGCAATCACCCAAGACGGGGGCCAGTGACAGTTGGCAACCCGCGCCCGACACAATAACGACATGCGACGAACCCGGCTCCGACAAATTGCTCAGCTTTGCAGCTGATCCCAAACTCGAGACTATCCTCAACAACGCCTGCGCCGCCATGATGCCCGGTTGCGCCTATCCAGACCGCATCCCCACCGGTACGCTGTGTACCGCGACTGTCAACTATCCACTCAACGGCCACAAGAACAGCACACAAGATGCCAACGTAGTGGGTAGCGATGGTAACAGTATTACCGACCATGCTGTTAGATGTAAAACACTCTTATCCAACTCGCAGCATACAGATGTACTGACCAAAGTTATAGTCGATGTCACCCCAGCTTCCCAACCCGAGGACTCCGCTGGTGTATTCTGGAAGGTCGAGGATTGCTATGGCTACTTTGCTCGTATGCTTCAGAAGTCGGGTAAAGAGGGATGTCACACCGACGCCGGATCTGGTTCCGGCAACGTGACGGTTGGCGGTGATTCATCACTGGCTGGTACCATTTTCAAGGTCTCTATTGTTCCTACTGAGAGCTTGCAATAGCTGCTCATTTTTACTTTCTTGTTCATTTTTTAGGGTATTGCTGAGCTTTGGTGTCACGATAGGCGCATACGGATCTTGAGTCAAGCGCTGTGCGCATCGGCGTTCTATTGTAGCAAGCCCGTTACTATACATTTTATGATTGCTATCCTTTACGTCAGAAACTAGTGAGGTGTGCATCTTCTGCATTGTTCCTCCCACACTCATGTAAAGTAGCAGCAGCCGCATTCACTGTGAGTTTCGGCAAGTTCGACTGCTTTCCGTGTGCCAGTACGCCGTCTTCTCCACCCAACGCCCTCATGTCACTCTCACTTAATCAGCAGCCTGGCTCATCCACGATATCCCAAAGCTCACTCAGGACGCGCACACGGTATCGCCTTATTAACAAAACACGAACCCTCTCAGCGCAATGGCGCACGATTACCGCTCACCACTCGACAACGCGGACAACTCGGACGAAGAGCTGGTAAAGTTCAAGAACCCGTACCTCAAAGGCACGAGAGATCAGAGCATCTGCACCATCTGGCCGACCGACGCGCCTACAGACTACATAAACAGCGCCAACACTTTCCTCGAAGCCGAATACGCAAATCCCGACTCGCCCGTTCATCAAGACCCTCCTTTACCTACCCCACCAAACCCCGACGACAACTCTCTCAGGGCCCTCAAAACTGACGACGATGTCTTCGACGCTGCTCGCATATGGCTCAAATGTCCTCTCGATCACGCCATTGTGATGAAATATCCTACTCAACTCGCACAACGCAATGGGTGGGTAGGCTACAGTCGGGTGACACTTTACTATGAGAAGTTCATGGGGACACACCAACCGAGATTGCTCATGACTATCAAGTGGCTGTGTCCAGATACACTGGGTGGCATCGTTGAAGGCGACACGATCGATCAGAAGTGGGTAGATGAGCCCAAAGCCTACGAATGTCCATACGTTGCCCTTTGCGATTACGATAACCTCGTTCTTTTGAGGTTCGGGAACGTCTTGGGGATTGAAGGAGTACGGGTTACCGCCGTTACAAGGGACTCTATGCGTCTAGCGTTCTTGGAATTCCTGCTTGAAGCGTGCGATGTGGTATTGGGTAAGCCAGGTAGTGGCCTGACTTGATTCGGGTCTCTCTTCGTGACCTCTCAGTCTACTAAGGGACTTCTGTCATCGATCAATGGCTAAGCACATCAATGATACCTAGCTGTTAGGTCAACAACAAACCGTTTTTTGTACAAGTCCTGGGACTGTCACGAAGCTCGCAAAGCCTTTACATGATCTGATGACAGGACCTAGCTTCGGAGGCTCCATAGCATCCTCCATAGGCGAAACCAAGCAAATATGGTAATGTAGAGCACAAGCGATGAAGGCGGTGATGCGGCTCCATGCCAAGTCGGCGCATACGTCATCACCAGCCTCGGTCGCTCACCCCTGTCCTCAAAACACCAACCTCGCTACTAAACAACAGCTGCGGTTGCCGACAGCCGCAACATCTCGTAATGAGAAGTAGAGCCGGGCCCTTCCGCTACCACATTTCGACCGAGGAAACGAGTCCGCATGCTTGGCAACACGTGTGTACCGATGCGCGTTCACGATGGTTCCTGTCGGTCCGGGAAAGCTACCGGCGACATACGCACGTATCCGAGCCTGGACTGTTTATGAAAGCGTGGTACTGTGTAGTGGCTTGGGAGTGACGTGCCCCAGCCACAGTTTTCTTATGTCAAGTAGAGCAGGCACGTCCTCATTGCAAAATTATTACCATCCCTGCCTTGTCTACACCATACATCCTAATATCTAATCCCAACACACGTTGTGAGCTTGATCAAGATGCGCGTCGCCAGTACTGTCCTCGCTCTTACCTCCGCCGCATCAGGCTTCATCCACCCGCGTCAAGCGTCCTACAACGAGACGAGCTCTACACCCAATGTCGCGGCGGCACAATACGATGGAACCTGTTTCTACCCTGTCCCAGACTCCAAGTTCAACCTAGATGCATACCTCGGAACGTGGTATCAAGTCGCTGGTACGCCATTCGGTCCTACAGCCGGCGCGCGTTGCGTGAGCGCAAATTACGAACTCAACGTACGTGTTTCTATGAATTTGGATCGCATATGCAGCGGTTGACAGAAAATACAGGACAATGGTACGGTGCGCGTCACGAACACCGCGACTGTCGGCCCACGAACTGTCGACATCGTCGGCACAGCTACGCCCGTAGACTCTGCTTATGGCGCCGGTGGTGCTTTCGTTGTCAGCTTCCCTGGCACGCCATCAATGGCAGAATGCCCAGGACCCAACTACATTGTGCAAGGTGAGTCGTACCATGAGCATGGTATGAAGTGCATAACCGCTAACGTTGATGTGCAGATTACGCAGTGGATTGGGCGATTGTGCAGACGCAGAAGTGGAACACGCTGTACATATTGAGCAGGGTGCGACAACCAGCCGCTGAAAGCATCGATGCATGGATTGATCGCGCTGTGGCTTTCGGATCAAACGCATCCTCGATTATGAAGTTCAACCAGACGAGCTGCGAGTAGGCGTAAGTTGGCAGGGAGGAGACGAGGAGGGCGTCATTGCGGTGACGTTGATGTGAACTATCGATTTATGCAGAGCCGCGAAAACTTCCAAGAGAAAGGCAGATCCACTGTTTGAGTACTCAGTACACTCCAGAGACATATCTCCAATGGAGAGTATACATATTTCCCAAGCCTAGCCGACCAATGGGTATCTAATTACGTCCAGAGCGGACAACAACTCCGTTCCCGCCTACTAAAGCTCATGACGACTGTACAGCAGACGCGCTTTAGTCAGCAAACTCAACAACGTTCTTCCAGTTGCCGTTCTCGCCTTCCTCAATTGCCATGTCTAAACCCAGACCTGAATCCACGCTTGTCTCGGAACCGCTTTCGAACTCCACGCGCTCTGGCCTAACGTCGGGTTGGGATGGGTCCCAAATGACGGGAATATAGCGCTCATCGTTATGATACTGCTCGCATAGCCACAGCTCGGGTTCTCCGTCTCCACGAGGGCACCATTCATCCCAAGCGAATGTTTCGATACTGTTGTACCATCGAATCATTGGCGATAGAAGCTTGGGAGCCCAAGCCTTGTATTCCTCCTCCACCTTGCGTGCGATGTCTGCACCAGCACATTTGGGATGAAGACGGACGGTCGCAACGTTGAAATCGATCGCTGTGATGGTCACGCCATCAAGTGCATCGTCTTCCAGATTGCCTCGAAGGGCGGTGATCATGATGTTTCGGGGGCAATAATCACTGTTGGCGATGCCTGCGTGGAACATGATAATATCGGTATCTATAACCTTCTTGAGGATGCGAGACCGTATTCGCTCCGGTAGTGCTAGAGCTTCGATATTGCGCATGGTCTCTCCTCGTATGTGTTCCATTAAGATCAGCGGAACTTGACGCGTGCGCTTCTGGACCTGACCATTGTCATAGACCCAGGTATCGACTGTTATGGTCCAAGTTCCGTGGAATGCAGGTGTGACTTCCCGCGCTGCTGGCGAAGTCTGTATCTGACAAAAGGCAGCAGCCTCGCGGCTATAGTCGGAAAATGCATTGAAGATGATGTCCTCTTTGCCGCCTAATTCGTCCGTTTCGTCGTAGTAGAACGGATCGTAGATTTTGGCGACCATGTCATCATTGATGACTACGAGTTGTGCTCCTCTGTTTTGGCCAGTGCGGATGACCGCCGTGATGTTCAACGTCTTTACGTCTTCGAGAGATTGATCGTCGCAAATGTGGCGTAAAGAGCAGAACTCCGCTTTTGATAGAGACTTCCAGTTCTCCGGAGGTGGAATCAACGGGCATTCAGTCTTATATCCTAGACCAAAGGGCTCCGGAGGCTGCTGCCTTCTTGCAGTCGTAGTGAAGCCTACAACATACGGAAACTTCCGCGGAGGTTGCATAGCAGTGTCGTTTGAATTAGATTCGCTCGCCGAAGACTCACAGTCATGTGTTGGTAGTGAAACGGGAGGATTGGAGAAGGGGCTGCAGCCGCCGTTGTCGGCTGCAGGGCTCCTGATGACATGCTCAACTTCGTTTTCGACGACTGACATAATTTGGTTATGTTGGGGTTAGTGGTGTTGGTGGAGAAGTGAGAGGAGAAAGTGCAACCTTGGAAGGGATTGAAGCGCAAACGCAAGTACGCTAAGCCCAATGACGCGCTGTCATGTGATATCTGGCTGTATTCACCAATATCGCTTCTTGGGGGTTTATTGTCAAAGGAGAGAGACATAGAGTGCCTAGATAATCAGTCGCCGGCTGATCAAACAATAGCCCCATGTCCGGGTAGATTGACCTAGGTAGGTATGCTTTGTCTGCGATTTGTACCCAAGTAGGCAACTATCAAAATAGTCGGCAGCGTATTCACTGTAAAATAGCTCTATCTTGAAGCGTAGAAGCTTCTTGCGTTTATTCACTATCATTAAAATAACAATATCGTGCCACCTAGTGGGTCGCCTGGGGCCTAGAGGACCTCAGGTGCTCAAGCCTTGGGTGCAACAAACGGTCGTACTACCTAGATATATTTTCCACCGAGTTGACCAGTCTCTTCATGCGTCCATCTGTTCATATATATGGTCAGCCCTTATCACATCCAAGTTACCCAATCGCAATCGGTCCTCGACAACGGTCCACTGAACATTCTCTATGGCGTCCGGTCCTGCAAGCCGCATTGAATGCTTCAATCAACCACTCCCAATCCTTGATGCAAAGACATTGGCCTTCAAGAGCGTTCAACCCTCTGGAGATTCAACCAAGCAGGCCGTACCCCCTGTGATTCTCCATCATGTGCCTTGCAAGCAGTTCTTAGACTTAGCGAACAAAGCCCTCCAATCATCCAAACTTACCAACAACACTCCAAGCCATGGCCCTATTGCTACTACGTTCCCAAAGCTTCCGCTTCAGACTGAAAGCGATGTTTTCCAGGCCTCGTCATTATACATCATTCACCCAATCATGGAGATACTTCATGTGTTGTATCCCGGCAAGTGGACTATACACGCCGAACTCGACGACAAAAAAGCGCCTCATAAGCTAGAGAGCCTCGAAGATCCAGGAACGAAACAGAAAGAATCTGCAGTACGCTATGACCTGATCTTCAAATCTACCGCGGACCCAGACAAAACTATCGCTGTGTTAGAATACAAGCGGCGAGGACTTATACGCTACAACGATTTCGAACTAGCAATGGTCTCGAACAACGCCTCTCCTAGGGAAATCACACTCAGGAAGGAGAAAGCATCAACAGGAAATCTTCTCAAGACAAACGGAATCTCCTACTGCAAACAAGTGTGTCTTTACGCACAGATCTCGGAGTGCAAGCATGTAGCACTCTTCAACTGGCAACACTTACTTCTCTTCGACTTCCATCAGCTGAAGACTAGTGGAGACATCTCGCATACTGCGGGTGAAGAAGCGAAGATCTCCTGGGTACATGAAGACCAGAGGAGAGGCTTTATGGAGCAGGCACTCATCCGGAAGGCATTGCTGGGTTGGCTACTGAAGGCGTTCGATGACTTCGAGAGTCAGTAAATGGCGCTGTGAAAGCTTCTAGGGTGTTGTATGGATACCGCCCGGGAGCTCACGAGAGGCGACGTAGGCGTCCTGGTGATATGTGTGTTAGCGTGTGATTAGCGATGATACCCCAAATCGATTCAGACATACTTGAAAGACATGAGTGACCTTGTTCCACATGACATGACCTAGATCAACTTTACTACCCTTCCTCACATTCTTTGATACGCGTGTAGAGTACATAGATCGTTCTATCGCGATAGATATCTGGCGCAGTGTGTTGTACCCACCAGCCTACTTATTAGATCATCATCACGTCCTACCACCACCAGTATCCTTGACGGCTATACATCCGTTCGCGTGCCCCCATTTTCCAGATCTGCACCCCAATCAATTCTAGGACAAGCCTTCTTATCTCCCGCATCTCTAACAAGCGGCACATACCCCTCCCTCCCTCCAAAACACTCCCACAGCCACTCATTCGTCGTCTCCGCCTTATAATCCACCCACCCCTTGAAAGCAAAATCGCTCATCGCATTCCAGAACCTCGTCACAGGACCCATTATCCTGCCCGGCCATTGCTGTTGTATGTATGCGGAGTCGGAGTCGCCAGGACGGGGTTCGCTGAGCCGGATGACATTCGAGACGTTGAAGTCGATGATGACGATACGGAGGTCTGGGTCGTCGAGGGATGAGGTTGGTGATGGGGAAACGAGCATGACGTTGCGGGGTGCGATATCGCGATGGAGGACACCGGCGGCGAAGATGAGGGACTCGGCTTCTAGGACTTTCTTCATGATTGCTGAGCGGGTTTCTGCAGAGAGAAGTTGAGGCTTTATAGCGGTCATAACAGTACCGGGTATGTGTTCCATGAGTATGAGCCGAACGTGTCTTGTATACATCTGGCCGTCCACCATAGTGTTTACGTCAATAGTCCAGCTACCATAGTACTCCGGGACAACGCGCTGCGCCTCAGAATCTCGTCGCAGTTCATCGTACGCAGCGGCTTCGCGGGAGTAATCTCCATCAGATAGTACGACAACATCGCGCTTCTCGTCGAAGATGTCGAACTCGTCATCGTAAAGCGGGTCGTATATCTTTGCTACTATATCTCCGTTGACCAAGACGACTTGCGCACTGTATATAGAGCCAGTACGTATAGTGTCGGTGACGGTAAGCGTGTAGGACTCTTCGAGCGTACGTCCTTCAATTGGAGGTCGGATAAGGCAGTAGTTGAGCTGCGGTAGCCTGAACTGGCCTGTTTTAAAAGGCGGCCATGGAGTGCTGTAACCGTTACCGAAAGGCGCGGGTGGTACGTGACGGTGGGCAGTGAACGTGGCGCCTACCGTGTAGGGCATAGCAGGTCTACTATCGATCTTGTTGTACTGGTGGTTCAAATTTTTGAGATCGTTGCTCTTCTGGCTGCCCTCACGACTTTTCGATGTACAAGGAGCGACGTCCAGTGACCTGGAGCTGCGCGCTGAGGGCGTCATATTGCGGGAAGAGCTCGTCGTCATGGCGGCTGGCGACTGGTATCTGGGGCGTTTGGCCGGAGAGTGTAAAAGTATCTGTAAACCAGACTAGAGCAATCGGCCATACGCCATTTTCGCAAACGAACGTGAACGGTGAAAGCGCTTTTCGTGGTTCCTGGTGAAAGTGAATCAACTCTAAAGTCATAGGTGAAGCCATGTTTGGCGAATGAAACCCTCATCTGATCTAGATCCCGAGACACCAAACACAGAGATTCTCTGGATCAATAGTACTGATTGTTCGGGGAAACGAGGACGAAGAAAATGGCATTCCAGAGTCCGGCAGACTTTGAATGATAACTTATGAATTCGTCGCGAGCTCATCCGAAAACCGGACCTGACTTGGGCACTTGAGAAACAGGCTGTTGAGGAACAGGCTGAGGACCCCATTGCTGAACCGGCTGCGGACCCCACTGTTGGTAAGGTTGCGGCGTCCACTGCTGTTGTATCGGCTGACCCACCCATTGCTGTCCCGGCTGCGGTGCCCACTGCTGTCCCTGTGGTCCAGTATAAGGCGACGGCGGACCAGGCGGCTGCATCTCATACACACTCGCAAAAGCCGCATATCTCCCCTTCCCTCCAAACGCCCACTTGACCCCTCCTCTCGCCCGTACAAGAACCCAGAGACTGACAAACACCGACAATGCAGCGACAGCCATGGCTATGACCATGTATCTCATCGCCTTCGCAGTGCCACAGGCCGTTCCTGCCCAATCTTCTTCCGGGAAGAATTCGTCGATCTGACATGCCCACGTCTCTCTCGTATGCTCTTGGTCATCCTGGCCAACGTCTTCGTAATTCTGCCAGCTTTTGTCGCTACTCTGAACAGAGGTGACGTATCCAAAGACACCCAGACTAGCACCAACCATCACGATGTTGCTAACGAAGATAATCCACGTCCACATCCTCTCATGTCCCGCTGTGCCCTCTGTCCTCCTCAGCTGCCATATTCCTGCTGCGCTGAGCAGACTGACTAAGTATCCTAGCAGGCATAACGCGAGTATGGTGATTGTGGGCGCATTGTCAACATCGAGCGTTACGGTGGTGTCGTTCGAGCCGGGCCGGGACAAAGTTATCTGGGAAGCGCCGCTGCGTATGTCGCGACCGAGACCGTCATCGAAGTAATTCTTGGATATGCGCTCGAGGATGTTGGTCAGGGCGGCGAAGCCGAAGAGGAAGAGAAGGGGCGGTAGGAGGAGGAGTAGGATGCGGAGGCCGTTAGGGTTGCGCATTTTCGTAACTCGGCGGTGGATGGCGGCGTCTAGGGAGTCGCGATGAGCTGATACGGATTATGTTTGGGCGCAAGATGTCCCCTTCTCCCAGCTAAAGGCGCGTGAAGTGATAGTTGAGCCATCGTGACTCGCCGGTGGCGGTCTGGGTCGCGGCGTGGACGCCTGAAAGTATCGTTGGGGGCGAGCCTTGCTTGGCAAACCTACACGTCTGAGAATAGCCTTGCATCATGTATTTAGCAAAGTAACGCTGGATCAAAACGAGTCACAAAGACGATGACGCTATGTCGCCAGAAGTCGCGTGTTCCACCGTGGCATCGCAACACGCGTTCACGTGGTTGTGGGGCAGCATCCCGTCGGGCCGTCCACCGGGTGATCCAACACACTCTTGGAACGATGTACGAAAGCGATAACAGAGAGATATTATCTATTGAGTGTACCCCACCAAAGGCAGAGAAATAGGCATTCTATATGCCAAAGATCTACACAAGTTCCAGCCCAGCGATCTAAGAAACAATTACAAGTATATGCTCTAGCGTCCCATATAATCCAAACGCCGTGTATGCAAAATGGTTCCCGCTCATTGGAACTATTGCGGTGCGCCGATAGCCTGCAGCTTTGCCAGCTCAAAGTAAACTCCCTTCTTGGCCACCAAGTCCTCGTGTCTGCCCTTCTCTACGATCTTGCCTTGGTCAAAGACGTAGATCACATCGGCGTGTTGTATTGTGCTCAAGCGATGCGCGATTGCGATTGTGGTGCGGCCTTGTGCGGCGGAGTCGAGGGCGGCTTGTACGACGCGTTCGGATGTGGAGTCGAGGGCGGATGTGGCTTCGTCGAGAAGGAGGACTTTGGGGTCGCGGAGGAGGGCGCGGGCGATGGCTATGCGTTGGCGCTGGGAGATATGTTAGTGAGGTTGAGAGAAGTGAATGAGTAGGAGAACGTACCTGGCCACCAGACAGTAGAGCACCCTTTGCGCCGACCAGCGTGTTGAAACCGTCAGGTAACGATGTGATGAAGTCGTAGATGTTGGCGTCTTTGCACGCTTGGATCACCGCGTCATCGCCCAGTTCCTCCTTGTCGGCAAGGATGTTTTCTCGGATCGTGCCAGTGTAGAGCGTTGTTTCTTGACTGACGATGGCTAATTGCGATCGGTAGTCTTGGAGGTTGTAGTCCTTGACCTCCACGTCATCGACAAGTACGGCACCGCTTGTCGGGTCGTAGAACCTTTCGAGCAGTTGCATCACCGTCGACTTACCAGAACCGGATGCGCCAACAAGGGCGATGAATTGACCAGGTTCAGCAGAAAGACTGATGCCGCGCAAGACACGGTGGTCCGGTCTTCCAGGGTAGGTGAAACGAATATCCTGCAGTTCAATCTTGCCGCTCAGCCTGTCAATCTTCTTGCCTTCGGTCGACCAGTTGTCGATCTTGGGAACGCGGTTCAAGAATGACTTGAGAAGCTTCGCTGCATCCCTGGCCTCGCCCATGTCGGGAGCGAAAGAGAAGATTGCACCGGCCGACTGGGCACCGTTGATGATGGAAGAGTAGACGACAAAGAACTGCAAGACCGTGTATTCCTGATTGAACAACAGACGTCCTCCGTACCAGAACACAAGGGCGAAAATGAACATGCTGAGACCCTGGGATGTCGCGAAGAGCACTGCGGACACGTTCGTGAACTTGAAGTAACCCTTGCCCTGGTCTGCAAGCTTGGTGTGGTAGGTGGACAAGAGATGCTTCTCTAGCGAGAGAGAGGCCACGGTACGAATGGAAGAGGCCGCCTCACAAGCGAAGCTGGCAGCATCGGATGTCTCCTTGGTTCGTTTCTCCATGCGGGTAAGAGCATAGAATCGGAAGTAACCACAGGCGATGACAAGTGGAATGGTAGCCGAGCACACAAGCGCCAGCTTCCATCCGAAAGAGCAACCCACGATGAAGGCGACAAGGATGGAAGCGGCGGCGCTGACGATCGTTCCGAGAGTAGAGCCACTGAGACCAGCGAGACGATTCGCCTCTGAAGAAAGGAAGTTGCTCAGCGCACCAGAAGTGACCGTGTCACCGTCGAAGAACTCCATATCCTGACGAAGCATGGCACCAAAAGCGCGCGTTCGCACGCTGCCAACAAGCCTAGCAGATCCTTTCGACAGTGTCATACCCTGTACGTAGTAGAAGAAGCCGATGACGATTCCGAGCATGAGGAACATGCCACACCAGAAGTTGACGTTGAGTCCGCCAAGAGACGTTCCGGGAGATAGGAGGG